GGTTAGGGTGGATTGGCCGTGCTAAATTGTCCCGTATTGCCCAGGGATGTGCAGGTTAGGGTGGATTGGCCGTGCTAAATTGTCCCATAGTGCCCAGGGATGTGCAGGTTAGGGTGGATTGGCCGTGCTAAATTGTCCCGTAGTGACAAGGGATGTGCAGGTTAGGGTGGGTTGGCCGTGCTAAATTGTTCCATAGCGCCCAGGGATGTGCGGGTTAGGGTGGATTGGCCGTGCTCAATTGTCCCGTAGTGCCCAGGGATGTGCAGGTTAGGGTGGATTGGCCGTGCTAAATTGTCCCATAGTGCCCAGGGATGTGCGGGTTAGGGTGGATTGACCGTGCTAAATTGTTGCATAGTGTCCAGGGATGTGCAGGTTAGGGTGGATTGGCCGTGCTAAATTGTTGCATAGTGTCCAGGGATGTGCAGGTTAGGGTGGATTGGCCGTGCTAAATTGTTCCACAGTGCCAAGGGATGTGCAGGTTAGGGTGGATTAGCCATGGGAAATGCAGGGTTACAGGGATAGGGTAAGCTGTTCTTTGGAGGGTCGATAGGCCAAATAGCCTCTTTTCACATTGCAGGGATTCTGTGGTCAAATACTTCCATTGCTTGACCTTCTTGTCATTATCCATGATCCCCCCCTTCATCTGGCATGTCCATAAGGACTCCTACCAATTTTTATAGATGCACCATAGAAACCATCCCATCGAGATGCATCACAGCTGGGCACAGCAAATGCTCTACCCAGGACTGTAAGAAACTACAGAGAGGTGTGAACACAGCCCAGTCCATCATATAAACCAGCCTTCCATCCATTGACTCCATCTACACCTCCCTCTGCCTCAGGAAGGCAGCAAACATCATCAAAAGCCCCTCCAACCCTGGTCATAATCTCTTCCATTGGGCAGAAGATACAAAATACACAGACCAACAGATTCAAGAGCAGCTTCTTCCCCGCTGTTATCAGAAATCTGAACCGACCTGTCAAATTTTAAATTTAATGTTGGTCTCGCTCTTTGTGCACCTTCTCTAACATTGTATTCCTCGCTCTGTTCCATGCATTATGTACTGAATGGTCTGCACGCACAACAAAACTTTTCACCGTAACTAGACGCACATGGTGATAATAATAAATCAAACTCTTCTCTTCAGCCATTCCCTGTGGGAGCTAGTCCCACTTGCTCCCCCAACTCTCCTGAACCCCCAGATTTGGATTGGAACGTCTGTTTTACACAGATGGCTGGAGATCTGGCCCTTTGAGAGGAAACATCTGAGCAGATCTAACAGTCTTGATCAAAGTCCTAGTCACGGTATGTGGGCATCAGTGGCTGGGTCTGTATTTATTACCCGTACCAAACTCCCCACAATCGTGAACCAGTGGGTCTGGAGTCACATGTAGGCCACACCAGGGTAAGGAAAGTGGATTTCCTTCCCTAAAGGACATTAGTGAACCAGATGGATATCTCTTCCCCATCAATGGTTTCATTTGACACTCAAACTCCAGATTTTAATCCAGTTCCAGAATGGTGGAATAATCCTGGTATGCCATTTGCTGACAACTGGGCCAGTCCCTGACAGTAAACAAAAAAAAGAACTTGCTAGGGAAGGATGTTGTTAAACTGGAAAGGGTTCAGAAATGAATTACAAGGATGTTACGAGAGTTGGAGGGTTTGAGCTACAGGGAGAGGCTGAATAGGCTGGGGTTATTTTCCCTGGAGCGTCAGGGGCTGAGGGGTGACGTTATAGATGTTTATAAAATCATGAAGGGCATGGATAGGGTGAATAGCCAAGATCTTTTCCCCAGGGTAGCGGAGGCCAAAACTAGAGGGGCATAGGTTTAAGGTGAGAGGGGAAAGATTTAAAAGGGAATGTGAGGGACAAATTTTTCACACAGAGGGTGGTGTGTGTATGGAACGAGCTGCCAGAGGAAGTGGTGGAGGCTGGTACAATTACAACATTTAAGAGGCATCTGGATGGGGACATGGATAGGAAGGGTTTAGAGGGACATGGGCCAAATGCTGGCAAATGGGACTAGATTTATTTAGAATATCTGGTCAGCATGGACGAGTTGGGCTGAAGGGTCTGCTTCCATGCTGTATGACTCTAAAACTGGAAACCAGAAACAGAAACAGAAATTGCTGGAGAAACTCAGCAGGTTTGGCAGCATCTGTGGAGAGATGGGGTTGGAACAGAGTTAACGTTTTGGGTCCAGTGAACCTTCTTCAGCTCTGAGCTTGTTCTAACTCTGTTCCCTCTCTCCATAGATGCTGTCAGGTCCTGCTGAGATTTTCTAGAAAAATAACCCACTTAGGTGAGGGAGACCGAATCAAAGGCAAGGCAGACAGAGTGAGGGTTTGTGGGGATAGGTCTGTGTCGAGCATTACCAGCACTAAGCACCTTCCTGTGCTGTAATCGTCCTCATTTTCTGGACTTTGACGCACGCTATGAGGAAGAGTTTCATACTGTGATGGTTATTTTGTCCTGTTTATTGTTTTTGAAGAGAGGTTGTAAGGCAGATATGCCCACCAGTTATCAAAAATCACTAGAGCTTGTGAGACCTTGGGGTTTATTTTAAATAAAAAGTTGGAACAATAGAAGCAGCCACACTGGGTGTGGCCATCTCTCACACACTGAGGTTTCTAGTTTTGTTTTAGTTTTTAGGTTTAGCTTTAAGCTAGTGTGGGCTTGAAGAAGAAAAAGCTGTCTTTTCTCCTCTCTCAGTTACAGCTAGAAACTGGGGTTCCTCGCTGCTGCTGGATTACCTGTTTTTCTGAATTTGCCTTTTTGCCAAAGGGGTGTGTTTGTTGGATGTTCAGTTAGTAACGGGTAACATATCTATTATCCTGTTACTATTTCCAATAGAGTTAAGTTATTCTAAATTCCTTTTTGTATTTTTACTATGGCGCTTCGCTTAACGTTGAGTAGTTTGACTAATCAAATTGCATCTTGAACACAGCTCTTCACACGTGCCTTAAAAATAAGAAAAATAGTTAGGGTCTAAGCTACCTTCTTAAAATATTTTGAGGGGGTCTGTTCTGGTCCACGACAATAAGCTTAATCTAAAGTGCTATTTCTACGTCCCACAGCGATAGAAGTTATCTCTTCCATCCCGAGATCTGGGACAGAGAGTGCAAGCAACCGAAAGACATCATCGTCTTCAACGTGGTCCTCTTCGCCTTACTGATAGGATTCAGCGGCATTGAGCTGGTACTCTGTCTGCTTCAGATGATCAACGGTCTCTTCGGTTGCATCTGTGGAACATGTGGGAAGAGGAGTTCGGTGGGTTTTAGGCATTTGACAAGGCAGCGTTGACCAAAGAGTCAGCACACTTTGCGCGGTTCCTCGCTCAAGGCCCACGCCTGGCCCTCTGGGTGGCTCCACAGTAGCCTCTGTGATGCCGTGGTGATATTGCTGGACTAGCGACCCAGACCGCTGCTCTCAGTCCACACATTCAAATCCCACGAGAGCAGCCGGCAGAGGCCTCAGTTCAATTCAATTCGCAAATCCCGGAACTGAAAGCTAATCTCAGTGTACCACTGAATCCCTGCGGTATGGAAGCAGGCTGTTTGGCCCACAGAGTCCATGCTGCCCCCTTCTGAAGAGCATCCCGCCCAGACCCACAGTTCTGAGGAAGGGTCACTGGACCTGAAGCGTTAACTCTGTTTTTTCCTTCACAGATGCTGCCAGACCAGCTGAGCTTTTCCAGCAACTTCTGGTTTTGTTCCTGATTTACAGCATCCGCAGTTCTTTCGGTTTTTACTGTCTTGAATGAGTCTGGTAAAATTGTGGCGAATTTACCTGGTTAAACACCCTATCCACACCACTCATAATTTTATTTACTTCTATCAGGCAGCCCCTCAGCCAGTGACATTATAATGAAAACAATCTAAATTTGTCCACATCAAGCAGATGTTCACCTGCACATCTGCTAATGCGGTATACTGTATCCGCTGTTCCCGTTGTGGCCTCCTCTACATCGGGGAAACCAAGCGGAGGCTCGGGGACCGCTTTGCGGAACACCTACGCTCGGTTCGCAATAAACAACTGCACCTCCCAGTCGCGAACCATTTCAACTCCCTGTCCCATTCCTCAGACGACATGTCCATCCTGGGCCTCCTGCAGTGCCACAACGATGCCACCCGAAGGTGCAGGAACAGCAACTCATATTCCGCTTGGGAACCCTGCAGCCCAATGGTATCAATGTGGATTTCACAAGCTTCAAAATCTCCCCTCCCCCTACCGCATCCCAAAACCAGCCCGGCTCGTCCCCGCCTCCCTAACCTGTTCTTCCTCCCACCTATCCCCTCCTCAAGTACCACCCCCATTTCCTACCTACTAACCTCATCCCGCCCGCTTGACCTGTCCGTCCTCCCTGGACTGACCTATCTCCTCCCTAACTCCCCACCTACACTCACCTTTACTGGCTCCATCCCCGCCTCTTTGACCTGTCTGTCTCCTCTCCACCTATCTTCTCCTCTATCCATCTTCTATCCGCCTCCCCCTCTCTCCCTATTTATTTCAGAATCCCCTTCCCCACCCCCATTTCTGAAGAAGGGTCTAGACCCGAAATGTCAGCCTTCCTGCTCCTCTGATGCTGCTTGGCCTGTGTTCATCCAGCTCTACACCTTGTTATCTTAAATTTGTCCAAATCTCCTTATGCACTCCAATCCAGACAGGTTCCCAGTCAACTGCTTCCTCACCCTCTCCAAAGCCTTCACATCCTTCCTATGGAGCTGCGCACAGTACTCCAAATGCGGCCTAACTAAATCAGAGAGTGTAAGAACTGCCGATGCTGGGGTCAGAGATAACACACAGTGTGGAGCTGGATGAACACAGCAGGCCAGGCAGCATCAGAGGAGCAGGAAGGCTGACGTTTCGGGTCGGGACCCTTCTTCAGAAAACTAAAGCTAACTAAGGTTTTGTAAAGCTGCGAAGATGCGGAGGAGAAAAGGCCGGTTTGACAGCAGTGTTCAAAATCATGAAGGACGTGGGAAGTGTCGAAAGGGAGAGGCTAGAAGGTTTGAAATCAAGGGACCACAGGCCTGAAGTGGCTGGCTATGGGCTATGAGAATGCAATGCCTGAGAGTGTGTGTGGTCAAGGCTGATTCAAAAATAGCTTTCAGAAGGGGAATCTGAAAGGGGGATGGGGTGGGGGGGCAAAGAAATTGGCAGGGTGATGGGGAACAGTCAAGGTGAGGGTGACTAGGAGAGACATCCCTTGCAGGCACAGGATAGGCTGATCGGCAACGCTGTGAACATTGTGCAAATTTCTATTCTATTCACAGGGTCCTGTGTAAAACGCGATGAGCCGGGGAAGAAATGTACTGATCTATCGAAGCCAATCGCGTAAGGACTTCCCGCAAAAGAACTAATTCACCTTTGCCTTAGGCTCGGGTCCACAAGCTGATGATTCCACATCCCCTTCTTGACAAGAAATGTCCCTCTTCTCCTACGTTGAACATACCGTGATTCCTGTTTGCACAAGCCGTTTGGAAGTGTTTGTATTTTTGAAGCAGTTCTTAATAAATCAAAGATCAGGACGCCCTTACTCCGTGCATGGTTTCTCTCCAGTGTGTCTGGGGTTTGTGTTCAGTCTTTGGCAGACGGTGTTAACGCAGGGTATTGATATAAAATCCTGCCCAGTCTGGTTCAGCGCCAACTGAGTCAACATTATCCCATTCAGACAGCGAGCAAATTAACGTACAGTTTAAGCCACCGCAAACTTACCAGACTCATTCACGGGAGAGACAATGACTGGTGGGGGTTTATCCTCGGGGTCACCGCGCCTCAGGTGAGGGGAGAGGTTGGTGGTGTATCCTCACAGGAATTGAACCCATGTTCTTAACAGTGTAAGCCAGCTACCCATGCAACTGGCCAGGAGAGCACCCAGCGCATGATACTACGGGCCTGATGGTTCCCATTGGGTGCCCCCTCCCTGCTTAATCCGACCCACAGGGGCTGCTGCTATCTCTGTAACCAGCACAGTTATCCATTGCACAGCACGCTGGGAAGGGACTGGGGTGGCACAGCAGCCCTTCCTGTGAGCCAGGAGGCCCACGTTGAAATCCCACCTGCCCCTGAAGTGTGTCATAGTAGCTCTGAACTGGTTAGTTAAGAAAATATTCCGCATTAGAACGCAGAACAGTACAGCACAGGAACGGGCCCCTTCGGCCCACCATGTCGTTCCGAACATGAGGCCAAATTAAACTAATCCCTTCTGCCTGCCATTGGTCCATATCCCTCCATTCCTTGCATATGCATGTGCTTTTATCTAAAAGCCCCTTAAATGCCCCTATCGTATCTGCCTCCACCACCATCACTGGCAGTGCGTTCCTGACTCCTACCACTCTCTGTGTAAAAAACCTGCCCCACACATTTCATAGAGCCATACAGCGTGGAAACAGACCCTTCGGCCCAACAAGTCCATGCCGAACATAATCCCAAACTAAGCTAGTTCCACCTGCCTGCTCCTGGCCCAATTCCCTCCAAAATGTTCCTATTCATGTACTTATCCAAATATCTTTTAAACATTGGAATTGTACCCACTCATCTCCTTTGAACTTTCCCCCTCTCACCTTAAATGCATGCCCCTTATTATTAAACATTTCAACTCTGGGAAAAAAATTCTGACCGTCAACCCTATCTATGTACCTCATAATTTTATAGACTCCTATCGAGTCTCCCCTCAGCCTCCGCCGCCCCAGAGAAAACAACCTGAGATTTTCTAGCCTCTCCTTATAGCTCACACTCTCTAATCCAGGCAGCATCCTGATAAACCTCTTCTGCACCCTCTTAAACGTCTCCACATCCTTCCTGTAATGTGGCGACCAGAATTGAACGCAGTGCTCAAAGTGTGGCCTAACCCTAGTCCATCTTTCACTTGTAGTCCTATTTTATGGGTTGTGGGAGCGTGATCAGCGGGATGGGGTGGATTGTGGTTTTGGTATTGGGTTTGTAATCCACAGGCCCAGCCTCAGTTGGAAACAAAAATTGCTGGAGATCACAGCGGATCAGACAGCATCCGTGGAGAGAGAGCAAGCTAACGTTTCGAGTCTAGTTGACTCTTCATCAGAGCTGATGTGAAGTGTTGGGGTGGGGGCAGCATTTATGCTGTAGTTTTGGGGGAGGGGGTACGGGATGTTGGGGGAGAAAGGATAGTTCAGATTAAGTGATCGGAATGTGAGAATGGCAGGACAACGGTGTGTCTAACTGGCAGACTGGGAAGAGCAGACAGTCCCTCTGGGGTGGGGAGAGGAGAGAGAGGACACGGTGACACAGAATGTAACAAGTAAAGCTCAAAGAAAGGCGAGGAGCGGGAGTGGGTTCATAATCTGAAGGTGCTGAACTCAATATTAAGTCCGGAAGGTTGTAAAGCGCCTGGTCTGAAGACGAGATGTTGTTCCTCCAGTTTGCGTTGAGATTCACTCGAACGCTGCAGCATGCTGAGGATATAGAAGTGGGAATGCGAGCAGGGCACTGTGTTGAAATGTGGGAAGGTTGGAGTTCTGCTTGTGCACAGCCCGGAGGTGTTCCACAAAGGGGTCACCCAGTCTGAGTTTGGTTTCTCCAACATAGAGTAGGCCATGTTGGGTGCAGCAAATACAATACACAAGATTGGAGGAGGTACAAGTGAAGTGCTGCTTCACCTGGAAAGACTGTTTAGGCCCTTGGATGGTAGGTGGGGAGGAGGTGATGGGATACATGGGAAGGTGCCGTTGGGAAGGGAGATGATTTTGGTGGCTTCCCAGGGATACACAGGTTCAAACTCCACGTCAGTAAATTCAATACATAAATCTGGAAATGAGATCTAATCTCGGTGATGATTTCTCTCTCGAAATTGAAAGGTTGAGGGATGACCTGATAGAAGTTTACAAAGATATGAAAGAAGTTTACAAAGTTATGATA